CTTCTAGTCAACCACCCAGTCAGCGTGAAGAAACACAACGCGACTCCCGAGGTGTTCTCAAATTTCGAACAAAACTCACTTTCTGTCACTTGCAAAAACTAGGGCAGATACCCTTGTAAGGGTATTTGCGCCGACAACGTCGTGCAAACGCGTGGCTACCGCTGCTCCATCTCTCTCTCTTGTTTGCGTGCGGTTTGCTGCGCTGCGCTTGCTAGTTTGCACGCACTGCCTTATCGTACCTACTTGTGTTCTCCTATTCTTTCTCTCACACACACACACACACACACACACACACACACTCACATTCATAGCTCGTTCTCTCTCTCTCTCTCTCTCTCTCTCTCTCTCTCTCTCTCTCTCTCTTTCTCTCCCTCTCTCTACTGGTTTTGTGTTGCTGGTTCGCGCATGCTACTAGCTCGTCCCTGCTCGTTTCCTCTCCCTCTCCTTCTTTGAACGAGCCCGATCGTGAGGCCGGCCATGTTCTCTTTGTTAATGTTCCATCGAATGGAGTAGGGAATAAGCACTAAGAAGAAAGAGAGGAAAATAAAATTATGAGAGGGAAAGAAAATGTAAATAAAAAAATAAAAATAATTTAGGCTACCAGCCAGGCTGCCCAGGGTCCCGGGTCGCCGAGAGAAGGTTAACAACAGTCGCATTTTTCATCACCACTTCAGGATGCAGCCTGCCTAAACAGATGGTTTTCAGGGTCCTCGGACCTTTCACCACTTCAGGACCATTCATGTCTAAAAATCTTGAATAGTCCTGAAGTGGTGAAAGCTCCGAGGACCCTGAAAACTACATGTTTAGGCAGGCTGCATCCTCAAGTGGTGAAGGGTGGTTTTCATGGTCTTGGGACTTTCACCACCTCAGGACCACTCAAAATTTTCAGACTGCCCAAAACTCTCACTTGACCACTTCAGAACACCCTTCACCACTTCAGGATGCAGCTTGCCTAAACATGTGGTTTTCATGGTCCTCGTTTTTTTCACCACTTCAAGACTATTTAAGATTTTCAGACTGTGCAAAACTCTCACTTCAAAATTTGCATTCCCGAATTTTCAGCTACCCGATAACTGCTTGTGGGGTGGTCAGCCCGTGCAAGGACCAGGGAAGGTCAAAAAAAAATAAAAATAAAAAAATAATAAAAAAAACAACTACGTTATGCAGAAAAATAAACTGAATAACGTTTGTCTCAGGGTCACATCGAAATTCTTCACCAAATTTAGAATAAAATAAATTATTTAAAAAATATATATTTATATATATTGTATTGACGATATATATATATATATATTTTATAGCAAGACTTTTTCTATGAATCGATGAAAACTTTTTAACTGAATTCTTATAAAATCAGGCAGTATTAAGATATCAGTATTTTTTTCGAATTTTATTATAGTTTTCAAACTTTTTTGGCTCGTACCATGAGAAATAACCGTAATCATTATATTATTTTATTTATTTTTCTTGTTATTGAATAAATACATTTATATATATATATTTGCCTGACCGGGCATGTGACCTCGGACCACTCAAGTAGCCTAATAAATAAATAAATAAATAAAAGAAAAGGAAAAGAAAGGGTTGGTGGGGGGATTTGAACCGGGGCACTCGTCCCCACTACGGGTTGCCCCTATAAAAAAAAAATTAGTCCAACGACTAGCGGTTGCGGAGATTCGTCCTTTTGACCTACTGAGCATGAGTTGGGCACCTTAACCTACTACGCTAGCTCCTATCCCATATTGGAATAGGTGCAACTTTCCTATGTAGTGGAAGTAGCTAATCGGCGGTCGGGCTAGGAAGCAGACTCTCCCTCATTCATCGTTTCACAGCCTTGTAGGGCCACGTTCACCCCTTCCTTCCACAACGTTCAGAGGTCCTTGGTGTTAGTGTGCGCTGACCATGACACATCACGGATTGTACTTAGGGCCGTCTGACCCGGGGGGTCGGCCAGTCTTTATTAATTTAATGCCGCAATTCGAACGTCCGATTGAGTCTGGTGTTTTTTCACCAACCAGATGCGTCGCTTTGGCTGCGTGGCCAGTGTCGTCATAATGTAATCTTTGTCTCCCAATATGCCCCAGACCACCGCGCTTTCACATCATTCGACATTCGTAATACGCTGATTTTTTCGACCCTTTCGCAATCGAAGACTCCTGCTTATCTTTATCGCCCTCGTCCTTCTCTGATTGGATGCGCATTCCTGACTCGCTTCTCACCTCCCATCGTAGCGAGTCATGCATACTACGTGAGTTACTGGTCACGCCCCATGTTACAGCAAATCCGAGCATCGGCCCTTCCTTCAGTAAACGCACACCGTCGCGCCTACCGTTTTCCCCCGAACATAACGCATATGCGTTGTATTTTAGTTTTTCAAAAAACTTGTTTTCGAAAAGTTGGACAGTTTGCTTCGAATACAAGGGCACTTTGAATATAACACATATGCGTTCTATTCAAATACTACATACATGTCTTATATTCGAATTTCACAATGAGAAAATTGTTGCATTCGAACATAACTTATTCCCCCACCCCCAAAGGTCAGCGCCTGCTCCGTTCTTGCCCTGCTGACCGGGACAGGCCCGTGCGTTCTCTCTCTTTCTCTCCCTCTCTCTATGACCCCTATGCGCTTCTTTCAGTAAGAAACTGCTCTCCAGGTCATTGACACGGAGTGCGGTGCACGACGTTTTCTCTCTCCCTGTCCCCAGTACTCTGCTGTCGACAAGCAACCGCCCTCCGTGTCACTGACAAGTTACCCTGTGTGTGTGTGTGTGCGTGTGTGTGTGTCCGTGCACGAAGGCGCTTCTGACAACTAAGAAAGTGGCACGACCAAGGAAGTGGAAATTCAAGCCACTTACCAAGGCCTCGCTACTACGGTGGTCACAGAGACAAAAAATACAAAAAAGTTGTATCTTTCCATGTTATAGCAGAAAATTCATTCTCATTTTGCACATTTGTTAAGGAGTGGAGCAAGGCCCCAGGTAGGGGAAGTAAATTAATCTTCGGGCAGAACATGGAAAGGTACGTACGTCGCTACTTTTCTTTTACCGTTTTTTCAAGGCTCTGAGACTCTCAATCGTGGTCCCAAACTGAGCCTACTCAGCCTGGACGTGACCCAATTGTAAAGGTAAAGCTGGTCTTGTTCACTTGAACATAACGCATATGCGTTGTAAACGAATACAACGCACAGTATACGTTGTATTCGTTTACAACACATATGCTTTATGTTTGGGGGAAGACGGTAGCCCTACCTCTGTTGGTACGACCCGATGCGGGTGCACAATTGCGCTTGGTGATTTATTTTTTGTTAAAGCTCTCTTTTTCTCAACCTTTCCTCGTTCCAATTGAGCAGGCGCCTAGTTTTGCGGGCGGGCGGTTTTGACTGCGGAGATCATTGGCTTAAGCCAAGTGACCTGCCTAGTAAAATAAAACGGGAGATGGGTTGCCTGGCGTAAAATTTTACTCTTTCTTCCTCCACAATTCCCAATGGATTACGTGATCCTCCTGCTGTCCTACCATAAATCGTTTTCACGTTTTATCTCGCACCACCTCTGACACGTAAAATAGGGAGTAAATACCTTTGTCAGGGTTTTTGCCGCGACAACGTTTTCAGCCCTAAGCTTCCACTAAAATGGTTTTAGATTAACGATGATTTTGTGAAACACTTCCTCTCCCGTTCTGATGTTGTTGTCGTAGTAGTATGTTACATCATTATCACTTCGAGTTGTATTGGCCCACACATTATCTCCCCGATAGCGCAGCTACCACCGGGAAGGGCAAGGGTCCATAGCTGTCGCTATGATAGTGAAGGGTAAGCCAACATGGCCATTTCCATAGCTGTTGCTATGATATTGAAGGTGGAATCAACATGGCCAAACTGAAAGACTCTTGGGTAAACTAGTGCATGAGGACTGCCACCTGCTTGTGGCTTGCAATACAACCATAGCCAGGACAACAAGCAACATTGGGGAGGCATCTTCAACCTTTCTCTCCCCCTCACGTCACCTTGAATCTACAAACACACTCTCACCCAAATGGCAGCAGCCAGCACCCCAGAGCACGATTGAGAAGGCCAGCAACTCACAGTAGGGCGCTTCGCCATGGCTCACCACCACCACACGCTAAATTCGGCAATTGCCTACCTCGGGGATGGTAGATGGCGAGGTGCCGAGGGGCGGCCGCGGGCGGAACAGGAAATCACTCCAAATTCGAACGGCCCTCCCCAACGGCCTTCGCGCCCTCGAACGCCGACCTTTCACCGTCGATCCCCCGACGATGGACGGTCTACGGCCCTGGCGGGCTCGCGGAAGTGTGCGCCCGCTGGCAACCGGCTTTCCGCCGCCACGCGGAGACCAGGATCACCAAGCCGTTCCTGCTGGTGCGCCCGCTGGCAGCAGGCTTTCCGCCGCCCATCTACGGCCCCGTCGATGGGCGGGTTTGGTATTTTTGGCGAAAAATGGCCTCACCGCCGCATAGCACACGCGAAACCGCCACGAACTTCGCGAGGCCATTTCCGCGATCGAATTCGCGTGTGCTATGCGGCCGTGAAGCGAAAAACCAAGCGAACGGGGGATTTCCGCGCTCGCGAGGACTCGCGAATTTCAGGTTCGTTTCGTTTCGTTTCGTTTTTGAGGCGTCCGGTGGACGCCCTTCGGCGGCTGTGAGACTGCGCGCGCGTTACTCAAAATTTGCGATTTTGCGAATATACGTCGCAGTGTGAATATGCCCTCACTTGGCAGTCAAGACTGGAATGCGGCGATATGATTATGAACTGGGATCTTCGGGCATGAGTTGTCTATGGCGGCGCAGCGGCGTATACTCTGCTCAAAGTTTTTTCCCCCTCCAAGAAAGACTTTCCTCGGAAAGGGTATGGGTCTGGGCGGGAACGAGTGTGTGTTGAATACAGGGAAAGGGGAACGGGTGCCTGGTTGTGTTCCCTTCTCAAGTCCTGTCGATTAGGGATAGCATCGTAAGGGACGTCGCGATTGTGACGTGAAATGGTGTGCCCAAGAGTGTTTGCGAGTGAGCGTTCATTGTTATTTGCCTGGCGGCTCTTGTCTGCATCTCGCGTCTTGTCTGTCGTGTGTGGAGTTATTACCCTGATACGGTATTAAGGGTTGTGTGACTGTGCCGAAGGTGATGCGCAGCGGTGCTGACCTTTGCAGAGAGCAAAGGGGTTGGTCGGCAAGACGGTGAGGCGGAATCGCCACGGCATATGGATGCTCCACTTGAGGGTGCAAATGAGAGTGCGGGCGACGGTGTCGCGTCTCCTCCTGGGAACCCGGCCCGGGACGTCAGATGGAGCGGCATACTTCGTGCGGCAGACGAAATGAGAATGGAAGTGGAGAATGCGCGAAATGAAAAAGAGGCGGGAGACGGCGGCGGCGGAGCGCCCGCGGAATCGAAAGGATCGAAAATGGAGACGCAGTCGGCCGAAGGGTGCTGTGTGAAGAAGTCAGCCGCGCACGAGGAGGAGCAGAACTCGAAGGGAGCGGAAGACAAGGGCAAACTGAGGGATAAGGCGGAGGAGAAGGGAGGGGGGAAGGATGTCAAAGAGGAGGGAGAGGGGGAGAGGGGAGAAGTGGTGGAAAAGGGGAGCAAGTTAAGTACTGAGGACGATGACGTGGAGAGAGATGCGAAGGAGCAGGGAAAAAAAGAAGAGAAGGGAGTCGCTCGGGATGGCGAGGAGAAGACTCGGGACTTAGCGGGAAAGCAGAATGATGATGAGGAAGACGAGGTTGTTCGGGATGACCAGCAGAAGAGTCGGAAAACAAGGGGGGAAAAGCACAAGAAGGATGGCGACGACGACGGGAACTCTGGATGCGAGTCGGAGGATAAACCAATATCGCCCAAGAGCAAGGAGAAGGGTGCACCTAAGCGCGAGAAGGTAAGGGAGCAGAAGGACCATCCGCGCGAGGAGGAAGGAGACGGCTCGCATGAAGAAGGGTTGTCGCAGAAGGATGAGCAGAATGTCGATGAAGATAAAAAGACATCTCAGAAAGAGAAGGGTGCGGTGAAGGATAGGGAGAGCACAGACGTAGAGCGAGCATCCGCCCATGAGAGTGAGAGCAAAGATAAATCAGAGAAGGGAGGCGTCGTGAGGGAGAGCGACAGTTCTCCGAAGAAGGAAGGAGAAAGGAAGCCTGTGGCGAAAGCGAAAAGTTTGCCGAAGAAGGTTGAGGCTGTTCGTGAAGGTAAGGATGCAGCAGGCAAGGAGAAGAAGGAGAAGGAAACCTTGAGCGAGGCTAAGACCGTCGTCTCGCCGAAAGAGAAGGAAGGTGTCAAGCAGAAGGAACCCTCACGGGAGACCCCAAAGAAGGACAGTGGGAATGCGCCGCCGCGGGACGGCAGGAACTCGCTGAAGGAGGAGGGAGTGAAGCATTCGTTGACGAAGGAGAAACAGCTGAAGAGCTCAGGAAAGGAAGAAGGAAAAAGTATGGCAAAGGAGAAGGGTGGGAAGAGTCTCCCTAAGGAGGAGGGCAAGCGCGGGATAACAGCGGGAAAGGACGGTAGAAGTGTGGTTAAGGAGAAGGAGAGGAAAGGTGTTGGGAAGGAGGAGCGAGTAAAGAGTCCGCGGAAGGAAAAGGATGGGAAACTTGTGTCGCCTGATCAAGAAGGGAAGAAGAAGGAAGCCATGCGGGAAAGGGAGAAACTGAAAGACGGCGTAGGAGCAGAAGGTAAATTGAAGGTCGCCAAACACTTTGGAAAGCACCGGGAGATGAAATCACGCCTTGAGAGCTCGTCGTCGTCCTCGTCCGGGAGCGACTCAGAGAAGGACCCTTACGATTTTGAGAGTGACGATGACACTCGGTACAAGAAAGGGAGAGACAAGAAATCAGAAAAGTCGGAAAGGAGGAAGGAGTATAGTAGAGGAAATGGGAGAGCGGGCAGTGATTCGGATGATGGAGATGATTCCCAGTCTTCTGAGGATAGTGATGAAAGCGACGAGTACCGGAGGAGGGGTGGTGGCAAGACTAAACGGCGCCGTGCGCACGGCACAGAGAAGGTCAGGAGAACCAGAGACGTTGGGTCTGAAGAAGAGGAATCGGAGTCGGAAGATGAGAAGGTGAAGAAGAAGCGAGGGTACGAGAACAAACGAGCGAAGCGTCATGAATATGAGGACGACGAAGAGTACGATGAACCTAAGCGACGGCGGCTGGAGGGGACTTCATTGGAGCGTGTGAAGAAGAAGGATGCACATAACAGTAAAGGAGACGACGAAATGGAAGGGAACAAGGCGGGGAGCAAGTTTCAGCGACCTGGATTGAAAAGCCCACAACATCAAGGTCAACTGGGTAAGGGGCGGTTGGTCAAGCACAGCCAAGGAGAGAAGGTTGGCCCAGATGAGCGGAAGCATATTGTCGCGTCCCAACAGTCGAAAGTATCGGAGCGAAAGTCTGCTCTCAACCCTCAACTGAAGACGAAGGCTGTGCTTGTCCAGAAGCACCAGCAGGGTTCCGCCCCAGCTTCGAGGGCGTCATTGGGCGGCACAGTATCTTCCAGTCCCGCTGCACAGCCGAAGTCACTCGGAGAGCGTAAGCAGGGATTTGCGGGGCCATCTCCGCCTCAGCAACATGGGAAATCTGGCACGTTGGAGGAGCACAAGCATCACCTTGCGAGCCCTCCAGAGTCGAGGGCGTTGATTAAGGGACGAAAGCCTGCAGTGGCAGCAGCGGCTGGGTCGAAGGTGGCGTTGCTCGCGGAAGGAAAAGGCCGGGTGGACAAGGGTTCGCAGACGCCGTCAACTGAGCAGTACAACTCGCTGCTGTATGCTTGTTGGAGGGTGCTGAGGAAGGAGGCACCTGGAATGCCTATGAAGTTGTTGGCGGAGCGAATTCGGTTGGAGGGGATTCATCAGCTGAAGCGGGGGGCGCCGGGCGTTAGCGAGTTGTTGAAAGCGCTGGATAGGGATAACTACTTCATTGTGGATGATGGTCGATGTTACCTAGAGAAAAAGACCGGCCGAGTTGTGAAAGCCCTGGACGCAGGATCGGCTAGGCTTTTGGAGTCGCCGAAGGCTGGCGAGGGGAGAGAGATTGTCTCTCTGGACCAAGAGGGTCACGGAACAGATGCGAAATCTCCTGGTGAGGCGGTGAGGGGCTCATTGACTGAGCAAAAGGACTCTCGAGCGCAGTCGGAAACGCCCGCACCGCTGATGATTATGGCCCCCCCTTCTTCTCCGACGATGGAAGAGAAGGATTCTGTCGGGCCTAAGAATGGCGTTACGTACCAGAAGGAATCTCGGAAGAGGAAAAAGGCTGAAGAGGACGGCTCAGGTCTTGCCAAGGAGGAGGTGTCTGGTGCGAGTGATGTTGCGGACGATGGCTCTACAATGAAGAAGGGCAAGGTTTCCAACGAAGAAGAGGTCGATACCGAGTCGAGGGAAAAGAAGAAAGTGCATGCGGATTCAGCAGGCAAGGAAGGCAAGAGTAAAGGTGGGAAGACCGAAGAGGAAGAGGACGACCTGACCCACGGTGACGCAAACAAGAGGAGGAAAGTTGAAAATCGGGACGTGACGGGTGACGATGCAGCCAAGGAGGGGGAAGAGCGCCCGCGGCATGAGGAAGATGCCAGCAATAACGTGGACGGAGAAGACGTTGAGCGTGATGATGCGAGTAGGAAAAAGAAAGGAGACGCCGTGGAGGATTATGCTAACGACGGCAGTTCAGTGAAAAAGAAGACGGATGTCGACAACTCCAGTGGTGCCCCTTCCCCCCGCGAGGATGTTCGTAGAAAGAAGAAGGGCGACGACGAGCACCCTCCCGCTGGTGCTTCTCCTTCGGATGAACCGAGTAAGAAGAAGAATGTGGAGGCAGAGGGCCGTGCTGAAGACGGCAATCCCAGGAAAAAGAGCCAGGAGACTGCGGACCATGCCCATACGGATAAGGTTAAAGCAAAGAAGGCAGATGCGGAGAGTGTACAGGACACGAAGGGCAGGAGAAAGAAGATGGAGACCGAAGATCCGGATGATTCCAGGGGCAAGAAGAAGGTCGAGGTCGACGAACAAAGGTTACCTGATGGCGTTACTAAGAAGAAGAAGAAGAAGATGCAGCAGCCAGAGTCGTCAGACAGCGAGGAGGAGGAGGAGGCGATGGATCGGTCTGTGAAGAAGAAGGAGAAGAGGGAGAAGGAACACAAAAGCAAGGAGGAAGAGATGAAGAAGAAACTCGTTTCCCCCAAGTCCGAGGACCGCAAGGCGCGGAAGAAGCAAGATGACGGCATCGAGGACGGACGTAGAGGGGGTGGTAGCACGCCCGCTACGGCCGAACGTGCTCCCGGGAAGAAGGGGCGCCGAATTTCTGCAGCTCCTGACGAGGTTGACCTACCTGACGATGAAAGGTGTACGAGATCCGACGGGAGGGCGTGGCGTTGCCGAGAGCCTCGATATGAGAGCAAGTCTTTATGTCTGAAGCATTATGAGCAAACGTTGAAGAAAAGAGGGACTCCGAAGGCGGAGAAGGCAGGGACAGCGACTCCAAAGGTGGAGAAGGCGAAAGGATTGAAGAGTCCGAAGTCTGTTGGAAGGGGGCCCGGCAAGGGGAAGGAGGTGGGGGTAAAAGACCCGGGGACGGGGGCAACAAACGCAGCTGTCAGCAAAGTGTGTACGTACATTCGTGAAGCGTCAAACAAGCAGTGCAAGAGGGACGCCTTGCCCGGTCAGCGGTTTTGTGCAAAGCATGCCAAAAAGGCACAACGTCGTGCTCATGAGCTCGCTGCCCTAGAAAAGCAGGATAGAGAAGGGCACACCAGCAATGACGAAGCGATCGTCGACTCCCGCCGGCGTGGAAAGGGTGGTTCCGGTGCTGTATCGCCTCGTGATGCGGGAGATGGTCGCGGATTAAGAAAGGAGAACCAACTCAAGGACGACGCCGCTGCGCAGCAGAGGGAGAGGACCCCGATTAAGGGGGATGGTTCTCTGGTATGATGATGATTTCACAGCAGGATGCAAAATAAGAAATGAGCTGTCTGAACGTGCGTTTGTATGGGTTTGTTGTTTGCTTGCGTGCTCCTGTTTCCGATGATGGAATCCGTAGCTCGGTTGTTCTTTCGCAGAGAGTGCTCTATTCCTTCATGAGAGGCTTTCCCTTTTGCGATTCGGCGAACCTCAGTTTACTGTAAAGTCTCGGGATGTCAATTGCAGGGGTTCCGTGGCGGGGTGGTTGGGTTGTGACGTGTCAGCTGCTGTCGTGTCCTGAAGTAGATTGCGTCCGGTTATTTCTTTGGATGATGCCCTGCAGCTTAATGTTCACCACACCATCATACCTTTTCCTTTCTTACCGTGATTGCACGATGCCTGTCGTACCCCTGGTGTGGGAAAAACCTGCTTGGGCAGGATATTTTTCAGATAACGAGCGGAGATGTCCAGCCTGTAGCGCAGTACTTCCTCCGCAGTAGGGGAACGAGATAATCTTTTCCTCACGTCAAGTCAAAGGGTGCGTGGTTCTTGTGGAATTGTTAAGCGAAGTATGGGTTTCAAAATTCCAACGTAATTTCGGTAGTTTAAAGACAAACATGCGTGTTTCAAAGAGAACAAAGTTGGCTTTTGAATATCTAACGTAACTTCAGTTTGGGCATGTTGAGCGTTGTGCATGTTCAGGCTAGCAGGACGAAGTGAATCGGTAGTTTAAAGACAAACATGCGTGTTTCAAAGAGAACAAAGTTGGCTTTTGAATATCTAACGTAACTTCAGTTTGGGCATGTTGAGCGTTGTGCATGTTCAGGCTAGCAGGACGAAGTGAATCTGACTTTGGAGTGAACTCTCCCCTTCCTTTCGAAGATTTTGGGAAACGTAAAGCGAGGAAAACTCTCATAATCAGCCAGAACAATTCGACTGAATAAATAATTGGCCCACCTGTTGTTGCGTTTGCTCTGAGCCGGGGAGGTTAGGTTAAGTCCTCGGTTGGCGGGAATATGGGGGATTGAGGTACCCTGTTTCGACTTGAGGTACCATTTGCTCTGAGCAGGATTGAGGTACGCGTCTAGGTCTGGTCATATGCGGCGGGAATATAGGGGATGATAACGGCTCCGTCCTTGTCTGGTGCATCGACTGGTGGTTGACTCCCGCTTGCTTGTAGAAACCCTTTGGTTTACTCTTTTTTTGCGTGTTTGGGGCTGAAGCAGTGATAGATAGCGGCAGGGGGAGAGGTCAAGCTCCTCGTTTTTCTCCACGGTGTGCCTCGCCCGATACACGGATGTATATTGTTTTCTGTTTTTGCCATGTGTTTCCTGATTCGACGTTTTTAGTGGCCTTACAGATATTGTTTGTGTACCAGACTAATCGTCGGGGCTTCCTGCGCTTCGGATTTCCTGCCATCTCACCTGTTGCTCGCTTCCGCCTTGTTGATCGCTTGGACTGGGTTTCAGAATTCACCCGTTGGGAAGAAGAAGAACAAGCTCAGCCGTATGTGTCATCAATGCCAGCGAAATGATAAGGGCGAGCTAATTTTCTGCGATAACTGTGAAAACTATCGGTACTGTACTTCTTGCATTAAGAAATGGTAAGTGTTGAGTATCGAGGAGCGGGCGCAAGTTCATCGAGTTCTTTCGTTCACATGTGTGTTGAAGTGTCCACTGTGGTCTTGGGGGGACAAGTGTCTTTGGTTATGTTCCATCTCAAGCTTTGTTCTGGTATTGCTTATGTTGGTGTGCAGTTTGTGAAGACGTCTGTACTTCTTTACGGCAACACAGTCTGGATTGCCATTTTGTATGATGCTTGGTATTTGTATTTCGCGTATCTTATATCATGGACTGCCGATTGTTGGTATTTGTATTCCGCGTATATCATGGACTCCCTGTCTCTGTATGGTGACTATGGCGTGCAGAATGGTTGTGCGCAAAAGTTTCCACGCGTAGTTTGCGGCACTCTTTGTGTTCTAGCCTCTGAGAAGAACGTTTCACGGTTCACAGGTTCACAGTTGTGCGCAAAAGTGTCCACTCGTAGTTGGCTTTTGCTTTTTCGATGTGCTTCGATGTGCTGCGAAGATTGCTTTTGACATGTTGTTATATTGTTTAGTTTTCTTTTGTACCTCCAACATATTTCTGTGTCCTGGATGTTTTATGCTCATGCTGCTACTGTCAGGTGGAATAAAGATAGAAGTAGTCTCCGAAGTCCATTCGGGGTTGTTTCGCCTCTACCCTTCCACCGTAAAGGCTCTCAGAGCGCCCTCTCGCTTTCCCCTTCTTCGTCATCTTATCCCTTTGATCCCTGCCACTACCTCCTTGCTTCAGACTTCCTCACACTCAGCAATCTCCTTACCCACTCCTAGTTGCATTGCAGGGGGAGATATGTATGGCACGCTTCATATATGTGTTTGGAAGGTTAAGTAAGCAAGGTAATCCCTCTGCCGTTATCCGAAGCACCATCGAAATGACTACTACGCAAAGCCTATCAGGGATTGAAAACGTACCGGGTGCGTGAGGAAGAGTACATGTGATGATTTTTTGTTCTGCTTGGTTTGTCTTGTGTTTTCTTTTTGAATGATTTTCAGGTACCCAGCGTACAGTGAAAGTGATCTGCAAAAGAAGTGCCCCAAGTGCCGTGGCAATTGCAATTGCTCAAGTTGTCTCAACAAAAGAATCATTCATGTAAAGTGCACCTTCGCAGCATGTGTTCATGTAGTTGTTGGCCTTTCTTCCGTCTGTTTGTGTTGACCGTCTGGTTACCTTGCTCTTTCTTTGTGAGACGATGATCTCCCTGTCCTCCTCAAATGGCATTTGCGTTGAGACTAGCCGAATGATGACATGGTTCAGACGTTCTCTGTTAATGTGTGCTCGGGAAGGCGTAGGGCTTGTTATTGCAGTTAATCCTTTCAAGTTTTAATTTGATTAGAACACTTATTCTGCTTTTCAACTCTTTTGGTTTTCAAAACGAAGCTTGGTCGGCTCAGTCTAATTAGCTGTGTTTGGATTTTATTATGACGGGTCCTGTTTTCTTTACCTAAAGGTTTCATTTTCTTGAGGTTGGATATTCTGTATACACATTTTTGGCGCATTGGGATTGGGGGTGGAGGTGCTCCAGAACTAGTGCAGAGTCATGAAGAAGCGTGAGTCCTATACTGTGTTGTGCGCACGATTTCCGTCCTTTTGGAGGATCGCTGAACAATCGTTGCTTTGCCTTTCTGTTCATTCATTCAACTTTATTCTAAGTGGCTTGGCTCGTGAGGATGGAGAGAACCGATGACCGATGACCGACGTAGCGTGTTATGTCTGTGCTCGTCCTTGATGACCGATGTGCCGTGTGGCAAACACCTCGGTCTATATCCCTCGGCATGTGTCTGCTGTGATTCCGCCGGTGAACGGCAGATTTGCAGACCTGCAAGACTCGTTGCTTATGTTTCGTGGTGATGTTTGGCTTTGTTTCTTTTTAGCAGTTGCATTTGTGTCACGTGCCTTGACATTGATTTGTGGATACGAACGTCGGTGGGCTTGGTCGACTATGATCTGAACAGGAAGTTCCCAAACTGAGTGTAGAGCAGAGGAGACGTTACCAGCTTCAGGTGCTAGGTATGCTCATGCCGCATTTGAGGGAGCTTCATGTTCAGCAGGAAAAGGAGCTGAGCATAGAGGCAGAGAAAGCAGGAGGTAAGCAGAATGCAAAGATTTAAGACACCCTTTGGAACAGAGATTTGCTTTTGGCTGTTCCTCAGCAGTCTTGTTCCTACTGTGGTGCTTGGGTTCGGAGGTTGGGCACTCTCCCCTCCCCCCCTCCCCCCCCCCCCCCCCCTCCGCCCCCCCTCGGCCCAGAAGTCCTCCTGTCTATATTAGCATGCTCACGTCATAGCACATGGCATTCCTGTGCTACCGTCTTCACCCGAATAGAACGCCCGGTCAATATAGCTGCATTTGGTGCAACTTTCAGTCCAGATGCAGTGGTAATGACAGGGCGTTGTATTCGGGTGAAGACGGTAGCAGCGTAGGAACGTGTTTGCAGGTTCGAGCAAGCCTTGAATTAACTGAGGGTGTGCCTTTGCTTGCTCAATGGATCTGTGGACATATATTTATTTGCTAGACACATCTTGTGAGTTCTGTGATTGAACACTGAACATTGTGCTCTATTCGTTCCAACAATGTGTGTGGTAAACAGATGCACAAATAGTGTGAGCTTGAGTGGGTGGGTGTGTTGTCGGGAGAGGCAGGAGAGAGAGAGAGAGAGAGAGGCATATCTTCCTTGTTAGGCTTTCCCGACGAGTAAGGTTGGCAGGGATGCTTCGAGCCGTCTATTTTGGTCCTTGAATCGTTTGGCCCCGTTTTGTTCTGCATTTGTTGTTGTACTAGCTGATGACCTTGTTAAGTAACATTATCCGAATGGCTCTTCGGACTAATGGATCTAGAAAAGATCGAAGGAAATAGGTAATGGAGAGAGTCTGACACGCATCATCTCTTTGTTGTATGCCACACAATCTTTCGAGGTTTCGGCTTCTGCAGTTTTCATAACATTCACAACTTATCCATCGTACCACGAACTAGCTTGTTGATGAATGGCTACTGTAATGTACGAATAAACACTTAATTAATGCTATCATTCTCTCGCGTTTAAGAGTAACTTTAGGCTATATATGGCACAGTACAAAGATACCGTGAACAAGAAACGTAATTCTTTGCATGCATATTATTATTCTCCGATAGCTTTGATTCAATGGCAAAGCAAGGAGTAGAGAAGTCAGCAATGATCACGCATGTAGAATATGTTTTGACAACATTGAAGTCTTTTGATGAAGAGCCAGACTATACTGGTCTTTTGGTGAGGAAGCAGCCCCCGTTCATGCCTCTGGCAATCAACATACCTCTCTCTGTGGTGTTTCAATTCCTTCTTAGTCCGTGCAATCCCTCTTTCTCTCTCACGCATAATTGTTCACACATAAAATAAACAGCGGAAAAGGCCTTGTGGGAATGCGGCCTCTGTATGTCCTTCCGAAATTGGTGTCTGTTGTTGTCTATTGACAATATATTGTTGGCGTAAGAGCATCTATGACTTCGCATGAACTCAATGATGCCTAGAACTCTTGATGTCTGTAGTTGATATTGCGATTTTGTTTCGGGTCTCCGTTATTTGCTGGAAGTACTCGTTTCCTGTTGAATCGTGGCTGTTATAACGTGCTGATTACGAATATCTCACTTCGGTTGACCCACCCTTTGACAATGCCTTTCTATGCAGTTCTAGCTGTGCATCTGTTTGAAATTATTGTACCTATCTGAGGATTGCTCATATGTAGTTTCCCCTTGGATTGTTCGTGGATAACAGGCAAGAAAGTCGACATCAAGCAAATGCATCTGGAGTCTGATGAACAGATTACCTGGTATGAATTGTCGCTCAGCTTGTGCAAGCGCACGACAGGCCACTCCAGTGCCCTTTCCCTTTCCATGTCCACTAGTCTTGCTAGATTGTTGAGATATCCGTTTTCATATTGGTTGTGCTGTGGCCAGCTGCACATTGTTTTGGGTTGTTCTGGATGCGATTTGAATCCAGAACTCGAAATTCAAGGACCCGTGGTGAGGTTATCTGAAAACAGGATATGTGGATTGTGACTTAACCATGTATGTTGTATCGGGCTGATGGCTGAAGGACACGTACCTGCTCAAGTTTCAATATGAATGCGATTAGATACCTTCCTTGGCTGTTCTCTGATCTTGCTTTTCCATCCTCTCCTTGGAGTTGCTTTCCCTGTCCGGTATCGAATCCATGTTCGTCTATGCTTGAGGTGGACTACCGGTTGTGATACTCTGGACTCGCACTACTTCTTGGGTGTGTGGTTGTCGCGCTTGGTGTTTCCAATCTGTGTCTAGCAATTCATTCATGGAATTTCCTGTGTCCTGTGGAGATTGTTTTGTACGGAATCTGTTTGATTGCGTCAGCAGTTTGCTGTGCCTCTTGACTTGACACTAAGAGGTCTATACTAGCTAGGGCACAATGTGTTTGTCTGCACTCTCCGGAGTGGCTTTGCTCCCTTATCACTGGCAAGGGAGTCTAGGGTGCAATTATCCATTGCTACGGATATGAAATTATGGACGAACCTGAACTTGAAAATCTTGGAGTTGAGAAAAATTGTGAAGTGTGTGGACACCGTGAACACATCTGATTATGGTCGTTGGCCTTTGTCTTCGTTTTGCAGCGACAACTGCTGTGCAGCTATAGTCGACCTGCATCGCTCGTGTCCGAAATGTGGCTTCGATGTTTGCCTGGAGTGTGTTGCTGCAGTGAGGGCAGGTGGAGCACCAAAAAGGTGGCACCCTGTTCTTGCAAATTCCAGGGAGGATCACGTAGATGGGGAGGGAGAGAGAACACGTGAGCCTCCAGTTGGAGGTGATGACGACAGAATAGATAATAAAGGTCGGAAAAGGAAAGGCCACCTAGACGCTGAGCGTCGTACACGGCCAAGGAAAGATGAAGCAGACTCTGGGTCGTTGGAAGAAGGTGATGATGATTACCTTGAGCCAGAACTTAGGACAGATTTGCCGCCATGGACAGCAGTTGGGGAGGACAAAATGGTCCCATGTCCACCGAAGGAGAGGGGTGGCTGTGGGGGGGCGAACTTGGAGCTTAAGACTCTTCTCGGTCGAGACTGGATTTCGAAGCTTAAGAAAGAAGCTGAGGAGGTACTTCAGGCAACAGGCGGTGCTGTTGCGGCATCAGATAATGCGGCCAATGTGCGGTCAGATCCTTGTGAATGTGTTGTGAAGGCAAAACAGGCGGGTAAGCTGGGCAGGTATAGAGGAGTATTGGAAGAGGCAGAAGATTTGATGAAGGCAGCAGGCAGGCCCGGTGGGGATGATGATGTACTGTATTGTCCACATGTAAGTGCCTTGAATGTGAAAGCTGTTGACAAGAGGGTGGCCATGCTCAATCACTTCCAGTTGCATTGGAAGCGCGGTGAGCCTGTTGTCGTCAGAGGCCTTTTGGACAGGGAATCTGGGATAAGCTGGGATCCGACTGTCGTCTGGCGTGCTGCAAAGAAACGCCAAAAGGATGATGAGACATCCCATGTTGTGGATGCCATCGACTGTCTGGACTGGTGTGAGGTGAGAATACTTCACTATGTGAGCGTGCTCGCTAGATATCTTTTGGGCCCTTTGCTTGAGAGTTGCTGGGGTTTCTGCTTTTCTCTGGTTCTCTGATTATCAGCTCTTCCTGGTGCTAATTGCATCTGGTGTGGAGAATTTTTCTCTGTGCTCTGGACTAGTTCTTTTCAGCTCTGCTCCGAATCTTTCTCCTCTTTCTTTGCTCTGGTCTAGTTCTTTTGAGCTCTCCTCTGAATGTTTATTCTGTTTGCCTCTTTTCAGCTCTGCTCCGAATCTTTCTCCTCTTTCTTTTCTCTGGTCTAGTTCTTTTGAGCTCTCCTCTGAATGTTTATTCTGTTTGCTTTGGACTAGTTCTTTTGAGCTCTGCTCTGAATGTTTCTTCTCTTTTGCTTTGGACTAGTTCTTTTGAGCTCTGTTCCGAATGTTTCTCCTCTTTGCTCTGGACTAGTTCTTTTGAGCTCTGCTCCGTCTGATCCTCACTTGCCTCTCTTTGTTGCGTGCAAGTCCCCTTCGAGCTCTGCACCATCTGATCCTTGCCCTCCTTTTCATTCGTTCACTAATGGCTCCTTGGCTGCGGATGTTTTCTTCTCTTTGCCCCAAACGAGTTCTTTTTGAGCTCTGCTCAATCTGATCCTTACGTGCCCTCTCTTTGTTGGGTGCAAGGTCTTTTGAGCTCTGCTCCTTCTGATCCTTAGGGCTCCTGTGCTTGAAAAGTTCTCAACAACTCTCTGTCTCCGACACACCACCCACAAGGACACATGTTCTTCAATGTCTCCCTTAATTCCGTCAGACCACTGCCATGTCCTCCATCCACCCTGTGCATCCCTCGGGCTGGCATGTCTTTCCTATGGTGCTATGCCTTGCCTTGCTTGGAGTCAGCAATAACAAGTTGTGTCGATGGTGCTTTTCTCACTCCTGCAGGTCCAGCTGAGTGTGCCACACTTCTTTGCGGGTTATTTGCAAGGAAGGATGTATGTGAGTGGCTGGCCAGAGATACTGAAGCTGAAGGACTGGCCTCCACCCTCGTTCTTTGAAAAACGGCTGCCGCGTCACTATGCAGATTTCGTAGATGCCCTCCCATGTCACGAGTATACAAATCCATCCTCTGGAATCTTCAACCTGGTCTCCAGGGTTCCCCTTGGGACAGCAGGTGTTGACCTGAGCCCCAAGGCGTATGTGGCCTATGGGATGCATGAAGAACTTGGAGTAGGAGACTCCGTCACAAAGCTGCACTATGATCCAACTGATGTGGTGAGTTGCTGGAACGCTTGCGGCACCTTGAGGTTTGGTTGAGGTGACCCAGCTGAGGTTTGTTTCTACTCAGTTTGAGGCACGTTGTGTGGTTTTCCACTCGCATTTTCAGTTATCCTTCGGGTCATACCGTGCTGGCTTTCTTTGGGGTTTGCTTGTACAGTTCCACGTTGATGTGCATGTTCGATTGCCTTCGAATGCCTGCGTTATGTACGGCCTTTTCAGCAATTCAATAGGCATGCTAGGAGCTCATAATACCTTTGCTGAATGGTCTCCTTATTCATGAATTTCATGGACTGCCCTTGTGAGGATGTTCTTTTGGGTGGTTCTATGCCGTAGGATAGAAGCTTTGAAACCAGCATTGGGACTGTGGTGGTAGATCATTGTCCCAGTCTAAAAGTAATCCTCATGCTGATTGGATTTGCCTGTCAAGTGCTCGCTCAGCTGGCGTGTGGTAACTTGTTTTGGCTGTCGTCTCTCCTGCCGTCCTTCGTTTGTCCTCTTATGAATGTGGTTTCTCGTTCGTTGCAGCACTGGTGCCAGCCTTTTTCGGTGTCATTTAGGTGCAGATCCAATATTTATTTGATTGGATGGACGAGTTCTTACTGGGAGTGGAGGGCCCAGTGCTCTCAAGGATGGTATTCTCTGTGCTGGTGGAAGTGGTGGTCAATAGATAAGTAGCGCTTACGAATCTATCTTGTGTCTCTGCTTTTGGCAATATGCAGTAGCAGGTGGAGACTGGATTTGACTGTGAACTGGAAGCTCTGTCTGATATGGACGTAGCAGAAGGTTTTGATCTCTGGTTATGTGCTTCCCAGTGGCTGTAGATTATTCTCCCGGTCTGAGATTGGTCGTTTGCTTCGCGTGGCAGCCGATGTCAATCTGTTCATACGAAGTGCTGACGTGACTGTCAGGGATCTTATAAGCACTTTCTGGTAAGAGTTGCTTAGCTAGTTTTTCATTCCGAAGCTTGAGAGACCACATGAACCTTGCTTGTGTTGCATTCTCGTCTCATGGGCATGTGGAACTGTCTGACATCTTGCATCCGAATCAATGGATGTACATGATTGCAGGTGAACGTACTGCTGCATTCTGCTGAGGTTCCCATTCCTGCCTGGCAGAGAGGAAGGATACAGATTCTGAAGAGTGAGTTAGTGGGAGAGAAGGCCGGTACGGCTATACTCCATGACAAGTTTGATGCAACAAAACACAGGGGCCTAGCGACACCAGAGCGAGAGAGTGAGGAAGATCGCGGTACTGAGGATGGTCCCAATGACAAGGGACATGCAAGGGATAGAAAGGAGAAGGATGTGACAGCAAGTAAGATAGATGCAGAAAATGGTGGGCCAGTGGAAGGGCTGGGGAAGGACAGGCAGAACGACAAAAAGGAACTAGCTGAGGGTGAGCAGAAAGGGAGGAGCAACGATGCTGCCACTGACCAAGATTTAGGTGAATATGGAGGTGCTGTGTGGGATGTGTTCCGTCGGGAGGACATTGGCAAGCTAGAAGAGTATCTTCGAGAGCACTGGAGGGAGTTCAGGCATCTCAACAATGAGCCTCTCAAGAGGGTATGCTTGATTTCGTTTATGCCTGATCAATAACTGTTGCAAGCACAGCTTTCAAGGCATATTTTATCAAATGCAAATGCAGCTCTCAAGGTTGCTTTGGTCCCTTGGTGGATGTGAAGTTTAAACCACGAGTCCATCGTATTGTAAATTGATGAGCAAAAATATGCTTTCTGCTGAGCCTGCTATCTACAGTTTACGTCTTTGTTTTCTTTGGGGGAGGTACCGGTACCAGCCTACCTTGAGACTGAAGTGCTGTACCTTGTGCCAACAGATGGCACGGAAAAGACAAGGAAACAAAAAAAAAAGCGAAGAACAGCTAAATCGAGATCAAGGATGTTGGGGAAGGCCCTCACTGAGGGCATACTCACACTAGTACTTTGCGGAATGAATCTGACCACTATTACGGCCAAATCTCTGTCGTTTTTTTCTTTTCTTTTCTTTTCTTTTCTTTATTAGGCCCTGCCAGCGAGGCAGGCTGTATTCCACGTTCTCAGGGAGGCCCTCACCAAGGGCATACTCACACGAGTACTTTTCAGAATGTATCTGACTGCAATCACGACCAAATCTTTGTTTCTTGTTGCTCTTCTGTTGTTTTTTTCATTGTAGCTTAACCCAGTTTCTGCTTTTTTTTGTGTTTTTTTTTTCGGTTGTTGTTTTCCCGATTTCGATCTCAATAGATCTTTCTGGGCCCAGCAGCCTTTTCCCTCTGAACCTAAGCCTTGCCTGATCACTGTAGATTTTGCTATGGTATTCGTATGTGATGGACTGGTGGTTTAAGATACTTTTGAGTTATATGCTCTTTGGTAATGGGATGGACCTGCATGGTTGGTTGTGGGCACCTATGGTCGTGTTATCTAATGGGGATGATGTGAGGGATCTCGTTCGTGGGAGCTGTGCTTTTGTAAGGGGATGGAACTGGATGGGTGGCTGTGGGTATCTGTTGTCGTATTTTCTAACGGTGATAACATGAGAAATCTCTTGAGGGGAGCTTGGGCACCTCCAGCACAGAATGCGAACGCGTTTGAAGGTGCATCATGTGGGCTAAGTGAAATGTAAGACCTTCATGAGGAGTCTGAGAGCTCCAGGTTTTGTTAGGGAAGTGCAGTGTCTTAGCACTGGTGCTGCGAGGAAATGTTGATGACGTTAACGAGCCAGGACGTAGATGATGTGGGGACCCTGCGTCCCCGTGGTGTGTGGCTTTGTGTTGAAGGTCCGTCCACTCTGTTGTGTCAGTAGAAGAGGTTGACTGAAACTTGGGCTCCACTTTCAGGTGGAGGAACTGATGTTGGCTTATTTATTGTTGGACTCTGCAGTACCGCTGGAATTCTTAGGTGGTTTGACAGTCAATGTAAATCCTAATGAAGAATATGTGGGCTTCCTGGCAAAGTGTTTGAGATGCCACTGACTGAGAAATAGGAAACACTCACGAGTAGTCGAGGCACCAGTGGGATAGAAGTTTCAAACCGTGAGTGCTCGTGTGCTAGTGCCCCCCCTGCAAAATTCAACAGTTCTTGTCCTCGTTCTCTCAGGTTCTGTGAAGATCTACACATCTGTGGGGCGAATGTCTCGAGTATGGGGAGAATGAGGTGTTAGAGTGAGGTGTTAGAAGTGTAAAAGGACAAGGAGATTAAATCAAGTCGCTGTCTCATTTGCTATGTTTACTGGTTGTGTATTGGCAGTTGCTGCATCCTATTTATGATCAGACATTCTTCTTAACGGAGGAGCACAAGCTTAAGCTGAAAGAAGAGAAAGGTATGTCAATGCTGCTGTTGGATGTTTCTCTCTATTCAGTCTCATCTACAGATGAGATGCCAGGCAATGTTTGGTTTTGCTGTCTATACCATCATCATTTTTGAAAAAGGATAGGGTTCTCCCTTTGAAGCGCTGTGTGTTTTTTCATCTATCCTTACTCGACAACACGTTTGTCAAGAGCTCAATGGAATGTCGATCATGCTAGTCTATATTTTTGAGGGGAAGGTTGCATGCTTTGTCCACTTGTACACCGGGGCCTGGAGGTGCTGAATTGCGAGCCAAGCTTTTCCAAACCGCCAGCAGGGCACTTGTTTTTTTTTTTGGCTGATGCTGCCAGCCATCGTGGTCTGGTAGCCCTGAGCCCCAAACGTTCGGAGTTGGCAACTCGCAATTTTCTGCAAGCCTGGCGGTTTAATGCGCGCCTACTGCTTCTTGGATTGGATGGTACTGAATGCCTGGACAGCGGGTCCTCTCCGTGGCAACACCTGGACAGCGGGTCCTCTCTGTGGCATGTGGGCATGTGGTGCTCTTGTTCCAGTCTTGCTTTTGCCATCCGACTAGAACAGCTCCCATCCTTCTTGTCATAACACAGTGGCTTAACCTCTGCATGACCTTTCCAGGCAAGTACAGTCATTAGCTCGTGTTGGTGGGCAGACACCTTCAGTTCTGCACCTGTCAACAGTGTTGTATTTGGCTCCCTTGTTTGCTGCTGTTTTTCACCCTGTGGGCCACTCTGCTGGCTCATTCAGGCGATGGCTCAGCACGTAGATCTTCTTGTACAGATGATGTGACAGCACACATGCTTCTTGTGTCCCATGAGGGCTCCACCGCCGTGCACAAGATTTGGATTCGTGCTGTCAGTCTGTCAAAATTTTCGTTTAGTGGCAGATTTGGGAGCTAGCGACTGTTGAGGTCACTGTCAACTTGGGAGTCGTCTGTATTTCTGTTTCACTGAAGTGTCCATGCCTGATTTTCTGTAGAGGTGTATCATGACGCAGAATCTCATTCTCGGATTGACAGACTGTCCAGGGCGAACAAGTAATGAATCACCAAATCTGTGAATGACGGTTGGGCGCATTCTGTGAACAAGCACTTACTTTTCTGTGGCTGGCAGCGTACAATGTGAGGGTCGCATGATTCTGTTGCTTGGGACAGGGTGGTTTGCTTTCATGACAAGGAGAACCAATGAGAACTTTCTCTGAAACGGAGAACCCCAATGTGCTCTAGGTGTCGAAAGCCCTTTTGGCCGCTCGTTTTTTTCTTTGTGTGTGTGTATAGAGAAGGGTGGTGGTGGCCCATTACAGGAACGTGTGCATCTGATTTTGTCATATGTGCCACGTGGGTACTTCTATTTGACTTTTGAACGACTCACCCTCAATTTGAATAAAACTCAGCGAAGAAAAGGAAAGAAAGCTCAAAGCGACAAAGTGCCAATGCTGTTTTGCCAGCTACTTAGTAGATGCGCGCTTGCGTATGAACAACACCGGGCCCTGTGTTCTTGGTGTAAGAAAAAGTCGAGCGCGAAATATGGCAAAGCGCAGGTACTTGGCTGAGGGGGAAACATATCGCCCTATTGCCAGTGAAGCACAGGAAAACAAACAACAGCGAGTTGCCCCAAAGATAAAGACAAAGTGCTCACGCCACTGTTTTCTCTCCCAGCCTAGGCCCAAACAATCTCGTGGGACAGCATCTGTGAGACCCGCCTTTCACATTAAGAAGGTTATTTAGGCAACTAGTTACTGGAAAGGTTTCTGAAATGCTCCCAGTGTGCTGAACCTTTTGCAGGAATTGAGCCGTGGACATTTCAGCAACACCTTGGAGATGCAGTCCTTGTGCCGGCAGGCTGCCCACATCAAGTTCGGAATATGAAGGTGAGGCGTTGTGGGCCTAAATGGTTGTGGAAGTCCTTTGCATAGCCTTACTCTGGAAGTGACTCATGTGGATGGCTTGGGGAGCAGAGATCTGGTTTGGGTGCAATGGCCTAGCCTGAAAGTGTCAAGTGTTGGTCTTCACTGTGTCGCCAAACCAGAAAACGACAAAGATGGGACCTCCAGGAGGCGGATAATTGTGCATCCGTTTGTCAGCATATACTGACTGAGCTGCCTCTAGGACTGTTTTGGCTCAGTGGAATCCAGGGTACTTCGGTTGAAATGGAAGCACTGATAATTCTGGCATGCATTGCGATGGGCTGAAGCATCAGAGAACCCGATAGTGTTCCAATGGAATGTTTTGAATGTCTAGCTTGATGTCACTTCTGCTGCGACTGCTGATGGATGTGGATGTGTAAATTGGAGAGTAACCTTTTCATGTTGTCGAATTGGATACCTTGGTGTTGTGCAGTCTTGTTTCAAGCTTGCTATGGAGTTTGTGTCTCCAGAGAATGTTCATGAGTGCATCCGCATTGCTGATGGCACTCGAATGCTCCCGAAGAGCCATGCTGCCAACGAAAGCAAACTTCAGGTGAGTTTCAGTACTGGTTACACGCATTTTGACTCCAGTTTTGATTGAGTGTGCTGGGTTATGGAAGCAAAGATGTGGATGCTGGTGCAAGCATATTGCACAATAATGTTTTTTGCTAGTTGGCTGGTGCACGTGTTAGGTGGAGTGGTTGGTCCCATTCATGACTATTTCGACTGCTTTGGTGCTGTGTGGTGCATTCTTTCTTGTGCGATCCCCTTTTACCCAACACAAGATTTTGCCTGCCCCTAGAGCACTGGGTCATGGCAGCCAAGATCCTACCAGTTTGCTACCAGCTCAATCTTTTTTCTTTTTGGCTTTCTTTTACTATCCTCTTTTTCACAAGGGCGACAATCTTGAGATATCGTCATGAAATGACCAGGGCTGGTAATTCAGATTTGTTTCATTCTGTTCATATGATTGCATCTGGATTCCAACTTGGGGGTCTGTATTCCAACCGTTTGTGGGTGTACCAACTGTGTCAGGCTCGTTGGTGCTGCCAGCCCTTTTGGCCTGATAAGCCAAAGCAATCCATGGCACCCTGTCAAGCATCGCGTTACTGCAGGTAGCTGGGCAGGGAACTGGTAGGTCGAAGTATTCACCTGAAAGTTTATTCCAGTGCCGAGGTGGCTGTAAGGCAATGCAGTCGTAAACCACCCCACTCCAACGGGCGCTGATCGTTTTTGTTGTCTACAAGTACGGGGGCCAAAATCTACGGTCCCCAGGCATGGCAGAGGTGCGGTTGTGATGAGCACCACAACCATTTTTCATCAGGGCAGCACTGGAGATTTGGAAAATGTAAAATTATGGTTTGTCAAAATATGTCTGGATGGAGTGGTTGTTGGGGTCCAGTTGTCCCGAGCCTCCGACATCTTAGGAGTGAGCCATGAGTTTTTCGAAGTTGGCTGGGCCTGTGTACTGGTGGTGTAAGTTCCTGTGTGTGCAGGGTACTTGTGGTGGTTTAATTCTTCAGTTAAAAGCTTGGTCCAGTGTTGAGTTGCACTGTGCTAGGCAATACGGTCTTAAGTTCCAGACTGATCTGGCGTACGTCAGGCTACAGATAGTGGGGGGACTAACACCGGCTCTCATGAGCGGCTCTGTATGTGCCAGTTCTTTTCACACAATTTGCATCCATGATGAATAGCTCGGGCGAATGTGGGGCAGCTGCTGGGGGGAGGAGCGGTGAGTTTGTCTAGGCACTGTACAGAAGGATAGGATGTCCAAACATGCGGTACTGTATATGATGATATGATCTGAGTGTATTATATTTTTGAGAATTACCATGATCAGGAAGGGGGGAGTCTCTCCACTGAGTGGGCACGCTATGATCAGGAATGCAAACATGTGGTCGCATGCATTTGAGTTAGTTGGGGTGATTTGGTCTGTGGAGCCGTTTTCTATGAGACTGATGGGATTGTTATGTTCTTTGTGTTAACAGGTGAAGCGGCTTATGCTGCATGCGGTGAAGTCTGCTCTTGAAGAGCTTACCAAAGTCCCCAAATCTACTGTGGATGCAAGTTGATGTTGTGGAATTTTGGCCGTGCATTCTGCATGGGTAATGACAGAAAAGAATGGTCCATAAGAAAATGCAAGCTTGGCAGGAGGTTGGACCAGTGTGGGAGAAAGATCAGGACGATGAATGGGAGGAGGCCTGCAGGTAGTATTAGGAGCACAGGTGCCAGGATGGAGGGGAAGTAGGACGAGGAGAGAGAGAGAGGGGGGGAGACAGAGAGAGAGAGAGAGGAGGGCGGGGCAGGGAATTATGAGAGGAATGGTCCCCATAGTGTCTCGACAGGGGAAGACAATGGAAATGCAGGGAGATGCGGTCAAGTGATGAGACCACAAAGTTGCCTTTGGCATATGCAGTTCATGCAAGGTAAGTCTTCCCGAGATGTGCAATTATATGAGGTGATTGTGCTGTGAGGACAAAGCAGTCCGGTTTCTAGTATGTGAAGTAGGCGCGTAGGGTGTTTCTATCTCTTTCTGCCTTCCATGTCGATGGTTTAGCTGTTGCATATTTTGTAGGGAGATGACTTTTTTGTAGCCGTGTTATAGGCGCGACTGTTAAACAGTACTCTGCTACTGGAAGCGGGTCTGGTCGTTTGTCTGCTTCCTGGCTTGTGCATTGCGGACTTGCTAGAAGGATCAAGACTTTTGCTTGCCAATCATTCCCGATCCTTTTTGTTTCTGTTGTCAAAGGCTGGTTTGTGGAGAGCAGAGGGGTGGATTACACTAGCAATATTACATTTCGAGAGATTTTCATGCGGGCAGGACCTTTTTTGCCACCCAATGCTTACTGTCGTCCTTTTTAAGATGTCCATCTTTGTTTTTTCTTTTTTTTCTTTTTTTACACTTGGGGGCTTAGGCAATGCAGTTGGCGGTGTTGGCCGTCAACGGAGGGGTGTGGTGCTAGTTACCCTGTGCACTCTCTGCCTCTTCCCTCGTACACCCTGTGCACTCTCTGCCTCTTCTCTAAACGGTTTCTTATTTGCTAGTCTTGTTGACGAATCGAGCAGTGAGGCCAGTACTCAGCAGTTTGGGCTCATCTGATGTGTTGTTCTCGACTTCTCTGTCACTGTCATATTTGCGAGTCATGTGGCCGACGAAATTGATGCAGGGGATCTTGATTGCTCATTTGTTGTAGCAGAACCTCTCCCCGTACGGTTGATGGGGAACGCTGCGGACAGTGAGAAGTAGAGTATGCGCAATGGACTTTGAACAGCAGGGAACAGAATATGTCAAACATTTCCAGTTGATGCTTAGAGCCTTGTAATTACTCCACATAGTCAGTGTCTTGGGACATCAATACACTTAATTTGACTGCCGATTGGTCAGTCATGTGGTTGGTAAATGCGTTCAGTGTATAAATGAATCCTACCTGGCATGTTGTGACATTAGTGAAATGGCGTGAATGGTGAACACCGGATATCCAAGATTCCCAGTAGTCTGTAGGGGCTAGCAAGGTCTTGAGTAGTCTAATGTATGATGACTTCAGATTGCCTCAAAAAAGGCATAACCACTTGACATGAACGGGGAGTGGTTTGATTAACTGGGTAGTTTTTTTCGAGCAAATGCTGCAGAACGAAGGAGAGAGACTTGAGGGAAATGTGGCAGTATCCCTCTTATCGAGGAACGCTGCAGCATCTCTGCAATCCATTGTGCCGTAATGTGGCAGTATCCCTCTTATCGAGGAACGCTGCAGCATCTCTGCAATCCATTGTGCCGTCCTGTTGAGCATCGTCAAGGCCTTTCATCACAGAAGATCTCAGGTCTGTCCTGTGACCTGAGTCAATTCCGCTCTCTCGATGTTTGTTGCTCATACGCTCACTATGATGTGGAGAAGCGGTGATGTTGCACTCTCTTACACAAGTGTTTTTGATGCAATCGTGAAAGAAGTCCCAAGACTGCTTTGGGAACTGGTGTGGTTAGCGATCTTCCAACTTGAGCCAGAGGTAGTTCTCACAGTAGATTTGGGTCACCACTGCGGTGCATCCCACAACGCTGTTGATGATTAGAAATTGCTGCCTCGTTTCCATCCGGGTGCTGCTTAGACATCTGGCACAACACTAGTTTGTTGTTTACCTGTGTGGCACATACAGAATGTTTGGCAATACTAGTAGTGTGTGCACCGGTGACTGTAGCTTTGTGAGCGTGGGAGGAGGAAGACGTCCATCTGAGCACTTCCATAATCTTTCGTGGATATGCCCAGCCTTCCTGCTCTACAAAGCCTTGTTTGCTTATCATTAGATGCCCTTTTGCTTGGGATGTTGCGTTTTGTCACTGGCCATCCGCCATAAGGAGATGTTTGTACTGCAATCGTAATGGGGCATGGATTGTGAATTTTGTTTAGACAACTGCTCTGATCCATTTGTCTGCCCGGCAGATTTTGAAAGTTTGCTTCGGAACGATATTCGCCAACATGGAGGAGTTTTTACTTGAACACTTGTGCTTATGAATTATATCTTGCGGGCATTTCACGAGGTTACATCGGATCCCGTGTGCTGATGGCTGTGCATTAAGGGGGCCGATTGCTGGGTGAGGGGTGGGCTTGTGTGGAGCAGGCCTGGTGGTGCGTTTGACATTTGAGAAATGGTGGAAGTCGTGGTAAAGCTGTACATAGCAAAAGTCTCTGAGGGTCGTGGTTTGCTGTACGGTTGTTGGTGTCCCCCCTCTTTTTGCTTGCCCTTTTATGCGTCTGATGTATGGGCTTTGTAATTTTTGGGGTGTTTTGTTGATAAGGTTTACAGTCTTGACGTCAGCGGGGGCAGCAAAAAGTCACTGAATGTTTCACCTTTGGTGGGTAATGATCTGCTCTTCCTGAGAGAGGAGAAGGTGAGCTCTCTTTCCATTGTGTAAGTCAGGAAAGTCTGTGTTACGAGGCAATTACTCTCCCAAATGAATCTAGTTTCGTCTTCGCGTTTGGAGCTTATTCTTGGCTGCATGGGATAGGCTGTCTCAATGGAGCTCCCCAAGCCCCATAGATTGACAGTGATGTGCCCTATGCGAGTTTCAATTCTCAACATGGCTTGGGTATGGTGTTGACGGGTTCCTTTTTTGAATGTGCATCTCAAGAATCCCTGGCGGCAATGTGCGAAATTGTTAATGTGCTTAGGATGGCTGTTTGTCTGGTTTGTACTTGTTGGCGAAAAGTTTTGAAAATAAAATCAGGGAAATGGATTAAACCATCCCTTCGTTGCATTGCAACCTTGCGCAGAGCTGTAGATTAAAACGACGACTCCGTCAGAGCCCTCTTTTTCCTGATGCGCTGTGCTGCTCGGTCCGGAGAAGAAGGAACACTTGTGACCCTGGTTGTGCACCATGTCCCTCTGATGAGACCGTCAGAGCCTGTCTTTTTGTGTTCCCGTCCTAGTGTTTTTTTAAACTGCGAGTAGATGGCCCCAGCCTTGCTGAAAAACTTTCCTCGCCTGGCCTCCCTCCTAACTGCTAGACAGGGCTTCCTAAAATATATTTAAAAAAAACGAAAAATAAGTTTCCTTGCCTAGCCAAAAAAAGGAAAAGAGTTTGCTGCTGGTGGTTTGGAAAAGCTTGGTGCGCAGTGGAGCGCCTCTGGGCCCCGGTGGACTTGCTGGTTTAATGTAGTGATGATCGATTCGGCCTCTACCCGAGGACAAAGGCGGGTAGCAGCGGGTAAGATTGTGCGTGCAATTTCACAATTATGTGACTGGGAAAACCTTCTTTGCATCATAAAGACAATGAGTCGGAGGTACTGGCTGTTTAGCAAGTGCTAATCTGTCAGGGTAGAATGATATTAGAATTTAGAAGAGAAGAAGGATATTTCGAAATGCCAGTAAATGGTATGAAACATGAAGTTTGTGGATGTTTTTACCTGCACTGTAACTTGGGAGGCTGGAAACATATTTAAGCTTGGCCCTCCAGTGTCTGGAAAGGGAATTGGGTATGGGGTAGTGATGTTCATTTTTCGCTTTCTTTTTTGTGCAACATTGATATGTAGCCAGGCATGCGGGCCAACTGTCAACCTATTCATTGGTTCTCAACTTCTCATATACCTTGTGTGGTGATGATGGTGACAGAACAAAATCAAGGATGCAATGCCATGACAACCCTTCTGTCCTGCCTGGCAATTCTCCAGAAAGGGGTTTGTTGATTGTTCTTTGTAAGAGCAATAAGCCCTGAACGCCGAACTCCCATCGGTCAAAGCCTAGACCTGTAGAAAGGGGCCATCACCTCGTCGTTGTCCTCCATTCGGATGGCTGGATTTGCATGATAGGTTGGATCTTGTAGTCGAGCGGAGTAAATTCGTCCCAGGTAATCGCAGCTATGCTGATGTAGCGTTGATGGAGTTTTCTGGGGTTTCGTTGAGGTTGAGGTTGAACTTGGGCGAGTTGGTTGTTGAGGCTCAATTTAAATTTCACTGTATGTGGGAATGTGCTTTTTTCCCTTTGGCCCTTCGTTTTGTGTGTAAAATATGATACACGTACGTTTCAGTTCCCACCTTACTGAACTGCAATGGGCATAATCTGCTGGAAACCAACATGCGTCTGTGTAACATGCTCAGACACGGTGTGCGAAACAACTGCAGTCAGGCAGTCGGTATGGCCTCCTCGACACAAAATGAAGGTATGGTTCGCGCTATGCAGAGATATATAGAGTGCTACTAGTGGCCAACATAACAATTACGACGACGTGAGACAGTTCGGTTCCGATCTGCCCTTGGTGATTTGAAGAGAACTGAGAGAAACCATCATCGAAGTGGGAGGCTCGGCTCTGGAGATGGGAATCCTATGTAAAAGTCTAGCATAGAGTACATGGTTTCACAGTTGGTCGTGGTAGTACAGAAGTCTGGGACAGGTGCAAGCTTCTGAAACTCTCTTTTGTGATATATACTCAGTATTTCTAGGTTGCGAATAAGCGAGATATGCAAACATGATGCGCATTCTTAAACCGCCAGTACTTGGCCCAGCTATTGGCGGCGGTGCTTTCCCGTTAATGGGCCGCGCCTTTAGGGCTTCGGGGTACCGGACCACAATGGCTGGAAGCGGGAGCCCAAAACAAAATTGAAATGGTGCCCCGGTGCTTCGGCAAAAATTGGCGTGCAGGGGCCATTCCAGGCTCGGCATCGATAGCTAGGCCAAGTACCGGTGGCTTAAGTTCCTGCTCTTCTGGGCTTGTCCCTTTCCGGACCGTCAACGCACTGACGCTGATTTTCTGTGTTTCTTTGTACGTTATGAAAACCCTCTCTGGGCAGGATGAATAGTCAGGTTTCCACCCCGGATGAGTGAAGATGTGGCAGGAAGATGTATGTTGAGCGGCGAGCATTGACCGTATCTCTTTAATGTTGTTCAAACGTTATTAATGTAGGTTGCAGGGTTGGCAACAGACGCAATGATGAAGAGGGCTAATGAGGATGCACGATGATGATATTGATGATACTGATGATGATGCTGGCTGATGCTGATGACGCTGGTGATGCTGATTTGACCTAGTGCGAACTCTCACGTTCCATGTTCTTAACAGTGAGAGGATTTGTAGAGGAGATATTTGCATGCAGAGGTTAGGTCTCGTAATCCGAGCGTAGATCTCACTAGTTACGTAATTCGGAAGCAGATGCACCCGCTCTTGGTTTGAACTTTCCCCTAGGGGCTGTTGAGGGAATGTATTGTGTATGACCGGGTTCATGGATCCTGGGACCCTACTGTGCAACAACAGAGACGTTAGAACGACTATTGTGGATCTGTGTAGGGTATATGAGCGGACTCGTTGTAGCATTCTATTGTGTAACAGCAGCGTCGTGGCTTCCACGATAGATTCCCACACTTATTTCCATGCTATGTGGATCTGTATAGGGTGTATGACTGGGTTCATGGATCCTGGGAGTCTATTGTGCAACAACGGAGACGTGAGAACGACTGCCCTTGCAAAGGAAGGAATCATGCGATTTGGTGCATTTCCCTCTTCGGGGTATAATAACCAACATCTCTGTCCTTTTCTCTACAACGGGATTATGAGACCCTACCCTCGTTTTATTCATATTTTGTCAGACTCGATCTTACTTCACAACAAGCAGGTAGACGTGTACCATTTACCCAAAAAATTTAAAAGAGTGAAGGCCCTTAAGGGATGATTACCCTTCTGCTGTTGGAATTTGTGAATGCAGCTGTGCACGTGCTCTTGAGATTGCTCAGAACATCCTTCTCGGTGAAAGGGCTATTTGAATTCTCGTTCGTGAATTTGATGGTGCCGGATATATGGTATATGGCCAAAAGGGAAGCCCGACCCCTTCACAGCTTCTCCAGGTTTCCAATTCTTTGCAGAACTCGCTTGAGCTTGAAAGAATTGAAAACTAATTCGCTGTGGAGTAGCTTGAATTGCCGTTATGCCAGACCACCAGAGGGCAGAATCCTCTCCCATGGGCGCAGTGGCATGCAGAGAATCTGGTCTAAGTTAGTTTGTAACTGGTTGCATCGTTGGGGGAAAAAGGAGTGGCATGGAGAATGGCTGGTTTTGGCAGGGTGGGGGGGCGAACAATGAACTGCGGTACGGTGAGGATTTGTGTCCTCTTTTGAGAAGAGTCCGAACGAGTTCTCTGTGGGTTTGGTGTGTACAATTGGTGGTGGTGCGACTGAATAGCGAATATGGCAGCACATGGTATGCAAAATGAATATAAGGTGGGAGCTCTACACACACGAAGAAGGTGTGTACACTTCTGCGCAGGGACAGGGTAGTACACGTACGAGGTGCGGAGGTTCCTGACAAGGATGAGTGCTCGGGTCCCACACCGGTGGAAGGGACGGGCTGGCAGCAAGTTAAATGGTCAGAGTCGCCTAGCATTTGTTGCACAATGTTCTGGTCTGTAGGATCTTATCAAAGACGCAATTGGGAGGCGCAGCGGTCATGCAAGAGTGAATCGCTGGTTATCAGATTAGCAGATCATCATGCTACTCGTCCCCCACCGCAAAGCCATCTTTATCTTACTGGTTCCGTCTGCAGCACGGACAGGTACTCTTTGTGGAATGAGACTGGTCATTCAGAAGACAGTACGATAGATATTTAGGATCTCGCTATCAAAGAAAACCTTGACCAAGCCAGGACTGAGCAAGAAAGAGTTCCCGTCTCACGGTCTTGTTTGCGTCTGTTGTGGCATGTGTCCGTTAAGCCATTGCAGAGACCAAACTGTTTATTATTGCTACATTCAGGCTTGCATGGCACAGGCAGCATCGTGGACCACAAAAGCACTTCCCTTGGTGAGTCTGGACTCTTTTCCTTTTTTTCAAAAAAAGGTCACATAATTCATACATTCGAAATTCGAGGTCGGGGCACCCACATTCTTCCCGGATCGCCCGTCTGAACTTACCGCCCTTCCTATTTTCTTTCCATCCGCCGTACTTACCGCCCCGCGATCGCCCGTCTGAACTTCTTGGAGGCGACAGTGGCATGCCCGTCGTGGCTTTGCGTGGCCAGCGAGCAGTGGTGCGGGAGGCCTTGCTCCATTCATGCGTCATGCTGGGTTGTCGATTAGGGTTCCTGTGTGGTGGTGCGTGTCAGTGTCGGCAGGCGTTCGCGTGGTCACAGAGGCGCCGTCGCTTTGTCTCCTCGTCCGCTGCACCTCCTGCGTGCAGGTCGTTTGGCAAGCACGTCATATTGTCGCGATGAGGGTGCGGGACAGGCGGCATTGCACTTCTGCAGCCGCTGTGTGTGCGTGCATCCGTGACTGCCGTTCAGTGTCCATGGGTGTGCTGCCTCGCCTTTGCAACTGTGCTGTGCGCATGCGCTCGCGCGTTTGGAGTTGTGTCGCCCGTAGGCGATTCTCCACGTGGCTGCAGGTCTGTGTAAGTGGGAGTGTAGTCGTGTGCGTGCACGTGCGTGGTCGTGTCCTTGTGCCTGCATGTTCGTGTGCACGCAGCTCGGTGATAATCCATGTTTTCAACCATGTTT